ATATATCTAAAGAAAAAATCATAGGTAAATAATTTATATGTATATGTTTGATAGGGACGACTCGACTAACCCAGAAGCAAACAAAACGACAGCAACAATCAAATAGCATCATTTCTGTCTTCGATGGTGGCTCCGTTGATATTAGCTGTGGCAAGCCACTTGAAATGTGAAGGACCAGATCAGATTATTGAACGGATGTATTCAACCGGGACGACTACCAGAAAGTGTGATTCACCGTGGCAATCCTTCACTGAATGCTTGGACGTATTCCCTGGAAACTCTCTTTATGAAGTCATCGTCCAGTAAGTCTTTTTATATCAAAAAAAAAAAAAAGGATACATGGACATGTCTTTCTCATACTTTTTTTTTTGATCATCTATAGGGATTTCTACTATTTGAACGTATACCAAGTGATTATTAACTTGTCTACTGTTGGAGAAAAACCTTTTTCGCCTCTTTAATTAATTTTTTTTATTTTTATTTCCTTCTTGTCCTTTTTCCCTCTCTCAGGCCTTTTTCCTGTTACACGCTTCCTTATTGATGATTATAATTTTTTTATAAATAGTGTAGACTTTTAGTTTTTTTTTTTTTTAGTCGTCAATCTTTAAAATAAAAAAAGAAAAATATTATTTTATCAAATATAAATCACTTTGGCCACTCTATTGGAAATAATCATCCATTGGTTTTAATTATATTAACAATCATCACATTTATTATTATTATTTTTTTTATATACCAATTCATCAAGACATTTGGTATCTTTTATTTATTTTCTTTTATCTGATCATCATTTACTGTTATTGCAAACATCCATCCATTTCCTTATTTGGATCATTTTATTTTTTTCAAAATACGTTTTATTACTTTTTTATAAAAGTAACTGGTGCTCACAAATACAAACCATCCTAAATATTATTATATTAATAATAATATCCATCTATCAAGTTAATCAATCATCCATCCATTTACGAAAAAATACTTAACACTACATATACATCGCAGATCTCTTTTCTCCTATCTAGGCTAGAAAGCATATAATAGGTAGATTTACTGTACCTTTTTTTTTTTTTTTTTTTTTGCAATAAACATAATTATTAGGTCAAATAGGTAGAATTTAGGACTTCTATATAGAGTTGAATAAAAATTGGTTTTCTAGGTAGAATTTAGGGTTTCTATGTAGAGCTGAATAAGAAATTGGGTTCCTAGTCCTAATTTGGAAGGAGGGGTTTTGCCCCACAGACTCGCTGAGTGAAAATTATGCATTGCCAAATAATAAAAAAGGACATTTGTTTATTTTTCTTCTTCTTCTTCTTATTTTTATTTTTATCACATTATTGTTCTTTTTTTTTTTTTCTTTCTGTTATATGTTTACCTTTTTAAGACAAATCAAAGTAAGGTATGGAAATAATAATAATAAAAGATTGTCTATACATATATTCATTGTATTCATGAACTGACTGAATCATTCTTTTTTGTAGGTGTGTTTATACCGTTTAGTTAAAACAAGTGTGTACACAAGTATCCTTAACCTGTTATATTAGTTATGTTTTAATAAGGTAAATCCATTTCATTATGCCACCAACGTTATATGATATTGATCTCTTTTTTTTTATTTGAATCTATACTCTAAATACAAATATGACGACTAAAGTAAGACAAACAAAAAAAAAAGATAATGATACTGTTGTTTTATAACCTTTTCTTCTTTTTATACACGAATCATTCCAACCTCTTTGCTATATCCTTTTCTCTATGTGCTTTTACAGACACTCACTCTTATTAATTGTAAGTTTCAAAAACAAGTTCTTTTCCTCTTCTTATTTCTAACTTTACTTTTCTTCTTTTTTTCTTTTATACGCGTTCTTTCGACCTTGATGTTTTTACTATAACATCTGTCCATCTAGGATTATCGTTCTTTCTTCTTCTCATCCTTCTTACTTGCCACCCTGGACAATGACTATTACTGAATATACGTCTGAAAGAAAGAAAGAAATCTAGATACATGAAGATTGATCATTATAGTTTCATGTCAATAAGATACTACGAGAAGTGGCTATCTGTCTGGATCAGCGAAATGGATGAACAGGATATTTTATAGGATTCAATTGGATTCGACTTACAATCAATTAGAGATATCCTTCTTGGTCTTTTTATCTTATTCTGGCTTAAAGCGTTAGTGATTCTTTTTACTATCACATTTAGTATACAATTATACACATTTACATTCTTTTTGTTTAATAAAATTATATTCATTGTCACTATTTACAATCATCACTTTTTTTTTTAATGTTATCTATCATTTCCTTTCAAACAACTGTTTGTGTGCCTGTGTTCCTTAAATAAATTAAATGATATGAAAAAAAGAAATATATTATGAAGTCGTTCTGTTTTTCATATATTTTTTTATCACTTTTTCTTTAATATTTAAAAACTAAGCTTACTTCTTTGTAAATACTTTATTCTCATTAGTACATTACAACATATTCTTTCTCTCTATTATATATTACTTTGGCACATTGCCTTTACTTAGTCGGACTTTTCGTTTCATTTTTATTTATTTCGTTTCCTAGCAATTTTCTTTTTCTACCTTCTCTTTCCTTTTCTCCACGCTTTTTTTTTTTTTTTTTTTTTACTCCTCCGCACTTTGTTCGTGTCTCCATATTGGCTCATGATAGGTAACATATAAAATACAATGACAGAAATGGATTCTTATTTTATTATTGTCAATTTAAAAAAATAAATAAAATAGTAATAATAAAATAAAAAATAGTATAAAATACAATTAGTTACTTGTTTTATAGTTAATTCATTCTAGTGTCTACAATTTCAAGACCTCTTTTTGGTTGGACTCTCTCTTTCTTCGGATTCCATTGCACAGCCAATGCAATTCATTTATGCACAAGTACTTTTGAAGGTCCTTTTTACTGCTTGGTTAGTCTTCCTTATGATATTTCAAAATTTCTTTTCTACTTGTTTGGACTCTTTGTCTCCCATCTGTCGCTCATTGTGGTGATGTTCTCTTCAATATCTCTTTGCTATTTGGTTGGACTCTTTCTCTATGTTGTTTTTTGTATCTGTAGATATCAAGATTGTCGCCTGTACAACCAAACTAGTAAGTTGCACAAAAAGAAGAAAAAGGATCAACCGATATTACATACAATCACTTGCTTCTTTTTTTTTAGATCCTTCTTTTTATTGTATTGTTATTGATACATTGACACTGGCGCATGATCCAAGGTAATATGTATATGTAAAAGAAGAAAAAAAATGAATAACATCGACGGATTGCTACTCATTTTGTTGATTCTTTGTTGTCTGTTAGGTATCAGAATAGTGGTCTATACAGTCAATTGTCGGATGGTCATCATTACTTTATACTTAGCTTTTGGTCAGACGAAGATCATGGTGTATTGATCTTTGTTTGTTTACGGGCAATGGACTTGGTCGAGGATGATCAGTCTCTAGAATCGTTTATGAATCTAGTGACTGAATTTTGTGCTCAAGTAGGTGGAGGGCAAAATGCAACACGTAGGAAATTCAGTTATTGTCTGTTGATCGTGTTGTTTCTTCCTGGAGTCCTTGTTAAGTCCTGACATTTGCGGTATTTGGTTTGGAAAGATCATTGAAGATCATATCAATGACTGATAGTGGAGCGCTATACGTAAGACGATACAACTATCTTTCTTGATGATCTGAAATTGTCTGATATCTGCATTTGGCGAGCCTTTATTTCTCTCCGAGCCAACTGTTATGATGACATTGGGTTTACTGGTGGTACAAAACGTTCGATGGTGCAGCCAAGGTAACTTGTACATAGAAAAAAGAAAAAAAAAAAGAAATAAACATTGATGGATTACTACTCATTTTGTTGATTTTATTTGTAACTTGCAAGATTATTGTCTATACAATAACGGTGGCGCAAATATTCAAGGGTATAATCAAGGTAACATGTGCATAGAAAAAAAAAAAGAAAAGAGAGTGATGTTGATGGATTACTATTTGTTAATTTTATCTGTAGGTTGCAAACTATACAATCAAGCCAAGATCGTCTCCCTTCTTCGCTGGAATGACTCTGTTAGACTGCCAATTGAAGGATCCATATCAAATAAAATAATTATACCCAAAGTGGAAGTCATGATCATTATCTTGGAGGTGGCATTAGCTGGTCTTGGTCATGGTTGTGGTCTTAGCCGTACTGGTAAACGTTGTCCTTGTAGTTTAGCTATTTATTACTATAGTTATGAAGTATAGTTATGAAGTATAGTTATGAAGTATAGTTATGAAGTATAGTTATGAAGTATAGTTATGAAGTATAGTTACGTAGTATAGTTATATTAATGAAATAAAGTAACTTTCTTGTCTATAATGATCGATGATTGTATATTGTGTAAAGAAATGAAGTTCTATTATGAAAATACAAAATGAATTTCGGAAATCCGATATTCATTTCGTTTTTTTTCCGAAATTCACATTTAATTTACTTTGAAAACGACTTAATGCATTTCAGAAAAATCAGAAATCAAGAACATCTGTACTAAATCGAGTCAGGAAAAAAAAATAAACGTATTCAGGAAAAATAAAGTTTATTTCAGATCTTTTCCCATAGTGAGAGTATTTACAATTAAAATTGGAAGCTCAACTCGATACCATATAGTTTATTGATCTATGAAATAAACTAAAAAGAATCTCACTGACTTATTACTAGTCTCATATTTTATACATTCAACCTACATACAATTTAACATCCCCTTTCCATCGAATGAATAGTCCATACCTTCTCCCAAAAAAAAAAAAAAAAAAAAAAAACCCATAACCCACACAAATCTTCGATGCCAAAAAGTTTCAGAGAAGCACCAGAGCATTTATTCAATATATACATATAAAGAGGATTATGCATAATACCATTGTTCCCTATACTCAACTATTCTCCCCATCATTCCAGTATCGTCAAAAAAAGTGTTGTCTTCGGTTTATTGAATATATAAAAAAAAATCGTAATTTCACAAAAAGAACATTGTATTCTTCAATTCAGGTTTTATACAACCGAAGGTTGCTAGTTCGTTATTTATCAGTTGGTTTGTGTTATCAGTAACGTTATTCCAATTTTTTCCTTTTTGGTAGTACCTGGCTCTTTCGGCTAAGATTCCTGCGTAGTATACTGGGGCACATATTGAAAGTGCATTGGTCGTTGTTTGACACATATAACACAGACGATAAGTGAGTTCTTGAAGAGCATCGGCAGAAAAATTGTTGTCATCATAAAGTACATGGTAGTGAGCAGGACGAGAGGTTCCTTGAAGACCAGCATGTGATTGTAGATCTAAGAAAAAAATACACATATAAATATATATATCAATATATCATCCTAATATATATAATCATTTGAGTAAGTACTTACAAAAATCAAATTCGAAAGGATGTACGATATCAGTATCCACGACAGTACCAGGTTGGCAGTTACCACTTCGATCGGCATCACGGGGTTCAACAGGGAAGAATCGAGCATGATGACGTTTTTGAACAACCACAAATGTACAGAAGGTTTGTAAGTCTTATCCAGGAAGCACAAGCAGCATGAATAGCAGCGATTTCGTACTTGAAAACTTGATTAAATTGAGTTTTCTGGAATGTCCCCTCTGTAGAACAAAAATTTGTTGAGGTTTTTGACCACAGTTTGATAAAATTTTGTCAACAGTTCTTTGACCATATTGGCTAAATCAGCTATTATTTCAGTATGGTTGGCTTGAACACGGATAGCGGAGGCATATCTTGAGGCATAGGAATCCATACTTGCAGTCAAACCAACAAGGGTAGGTGTTTTCACATCACTATTATCAGGATGAGCAACATCAGCACCAAAGATGATAGTAGTTTGTTGTGGAGAAAAAGGTACTTTGAAAATTAGCTAAAACCAATTGACACCACCGAGCTTCATATTCACTTTCAAACTGACATTGGCAATATACGTTCTTTCGGCTTTGGCAACATATTTCGTTTTCACACATTGAGTGGGGATACCAATAACTATATAAAAAGGATATGAGATTATTCGTAAAAATCATCAACATCGTCGTCATCAGTATCACCTTTTCTTTCTCTATGTTTGCTTACCTGTATCACAGACACGCTTGATGTCGGCATAGATTTGAACACCAGTGTTGGGCAAGATACAGAAGATTAATTCAGGTTTAACCTTGGTAGCATTACCAGCTTTCAACCAAGCTTCCTTGAGAGTGCGTTCGACATCGCCTTGAGGATCAGCATGAGTAATTGGTGGTTCAAGATTGATGACATTCTATATTTTTAATCATAAAAGAAATAATAATAGGTGAAAGATTAGTATAAATCATGTTTTCTTCTTTTCTTAAAATAAATAAATAAATAAAAAGAAACCAACTTACCAAACCTTATCAATGAACATTTGACCTAGTTCACGAATAAAAAATCGTACCGAACCATCATTGATACTGCTTGCAAAATTGACGACAGACCAAGATTTCAAGGTGGCACCGTTTGCGACTTTCTTACCACTGAGACTCCAAGTACCACCGACAGGAGTAAAACTAGCATCTTCCGAAGAAGCATGAAAAGAGATCTTTGGAGCCGAGAAGAACACGAGCATTGACCATGGTCATATCAGGCTTGACGCTGACACCAAATTGTTGAACATACGGATTGTCCTTGTGGTCGAGGATGTCGATACCTTGATTGATCAAGTTGGCACGCGCATTGGGTGTATTCCAAGTAAACTTGATCATTTCACCTTTTTGATAGTCATTCGGTGTCTCTACAGGGCATTGACCAGAAACTACTTCACAAACTTCCATAGGCAAAAAGGTATTCTTCTTGACAACAACACATGGTAAGAAAGGGAAGGCCAAACGTCTGTTGTAAGTGTTTTGAAAGTGTTGAGCAACGGTCACTTCATTTCCAGTATCATCCTTGAATACAGTGTTTTCAGCAGAGGTAGGAGTGAGCTTGTTAATCTTGTACTTCAATCGTTTTTCAGCACACGATGGACAACAACGATCTTGAGATTCTTGAGTATTTTTTCAACTTTGATACGTTCACGGTCAGGAATACCACGACGAAGTTCACCAAGACTGTGGCGGCCAAGTAGTTTGGGTAACATTTCGTGAAGAGGACCAGGTTGATAGAAAGCGATGGAGCTAACACCAATATTGACCATCATTTTGCCTATAAACAGTAAAGAATGAAATATTAACAAAATCTTAGGATTTTTTTTTCTTTACCTTGAGTAGGGCGAGCATATTGATTGAAGCCTTGCCACACTTCAGCACCATTGGGTAATGGACGTTTACCTTGGGGAGTATAAAAGGATCGACCCATGGTAGTATAATAGATATATGGAAAGTAATGAAACAATGTGTCAAGGACTCTAATGGCTGTAGAGTGGTTTTAGAGAAGAAGAGGATAAAAAAGGGAAAAGAAGTTAATAAAAGAAAAGGAGATAATCATAATATTCTTTTTTTTTTTGTTTTACGTACCCATCAAGCAGTTGTTGGTAATAATAGACTTTCCATCCAAAAGTAATTGTAATTCACTCATGTTGATTACACCTACAGGCTTGATTTTTAACTTGAAAACACCTCTAGAACGATTTCCTTGTTGAAGGTTGACCTATAACAAGAATAAAAATGATGGATATGAATGAACCAATAAAAAAAAGAGTGATCAAAAAAATATAATAATGTTGGGGTGAAATATTAAGCATATGATAAAATGTACGTCATTTTTTTTATTTACTTACTTCAAAAGAAATACCAAGATTATCATCACCACATTTGAGAGGTTTTGGAGAAAAGAGATTTGCACGACCATCAAAACCGGTTTGATCTTGTTGAGGAAAGCTCGACCTTTGAGACTATCTTCAAAACATTGCCACAACTTTTTTCGAACAGGTAGAGATGTACCCTCCGGTAGGAATTGAATATTCAAGTGTTGTATATTTTGAGTTGGAATACTAGTCATTTCAAAGAAATTGCTTCGTACACGTACTTGTTTACCAACTGTGCCAGTATTGGGACGCATAATAAGTTCAGTCAAATCTCTGTTGGATGCTTGAGCCATGATGTTCGTTTATAAGGTGTATAAAAAAAAAAAGTGAAGAAAAAGAAAGAGTAGAGAAAAGAAAAAGTGAAGAGAGAGAGAAAGGAAGAAAAAAAAAGAAGATAGAGAAAGAAAAAAATTCATTAATTTTACATGTCTAGCTGGTCGGCCAGTTTTCCTGCAAATCAAATTACCAATCGTAAGAAATCACATAGGTTTAAGTTGCTTTTTTTGAATTGATTTTTATTGATTAACATCATAATGATGATGATGATGAATGATATTAGAATAAGCACTTCAAGTGAATGTTTTTATCACTTATTTCCTATTCCTTGTATTCATTAAACTTTGAATAACTATAGTAAAGAAAGATACGAACGAATATGAGCCGTAACTGAATATCCAAAAAAGGAAATCCTCAATCCATGGCTCAGCGTTATGTAAATTATTTTCTCATACTTTCTTTTTCCTTTCCTATCGCTACTACTATAGACATCTTTTCTATTTTGCATAGAAAGTAAGGCAGATGACACTAAAAAAGAAAGAAAAAGACATTATATATTCATTTTATATTATTTGCTATAGGTATATGACTCATGATTTTCTACAAATAACTCCGACTGCAACGCGCATATTGACAAGAAATCCTTAATTGCTTCTCTTTCTTTCGCTTTTTTCTTTTTCTTTTTGAACTCTTTCACCAAAGGATGCTTATACTCCATGGAACAATTGATTGAAAAAAGAACGCATTACGATGGTATGACTGTACACGAAATCATTATGTATAAGAAACTATTTAAACAACAACAACAACGTAACGGTAAGCGTGATCACAATTGAAACAACAATGTTGTCTTTTTTTTTTTTTTTTTTTTTTTTTTGTTACTGAGTTACTTTTTTTTTTTTTTTTTTGCCTTTTACAAATATAGCACAGCAACCCCATCAAGGTGATGAAGAAGATGATGACAATAGTGATGTTGACGGTGATGACAATAGTGATATTGACAGTGAAGATCATGAAGGTAAGAAATATTAGAAATAAAAGCAAAATATTATTGTGAGGCTACTGGCTTAACTTTTTTTTTTTTTTTTACTTCAACAGGTGATGATGGTGACCATGATGGCGACAACTATGCTGCTGCTTCTTCCTCTACTGCAACACGTTCAACAGTTTCAAAACAGTTATCAGGGAACAAGCGTAAAAGACAACAATCTCGGCAAGAAAAATCAAAGAAAAAACAAGCGTCCATTGTTCGGAAGCAATCATCATCCAAGCACTCTCTGACACCCTGCCCGGTATGCCTAGAAAAACGTCGATTTGACACCGCCTACTCTCACTCAAGATCTACAAGCAAATTATGCCCGTTCCGACAGCCAAGCAGAAAACGACTACGGCAGCAAGTGGGACAAACAATGACCGTATGTAGAAAGATTGGACTGAACTCACTATT